ACACGTGTAATCTCGCGGTACTCACTCGGCCGGCGCAGATAAACCACCGCGGCCAACGTAACCCGACATAATAAAACAGTTTTTTTTTTTTAAAACACGGTCGTTTGCACTCAATTACAGACTGCCCGTGTTATTATTATTATTGTTTATTACGTAAACCGTATAATTATAACATGGATTCGTTATCGGATTCACAAAAATAACGTATTAAGTGATTATGTGTTTAGTTGCATTTCACAAATTGTAGTGTACGTTTAATACGTAATTATTAGTATGGTCGTCACGGTAGCCGGTACAGCATCTGGCCGAGATGATGCACATAGGACAACGTGACGACCGGATATTGTGATTCGTCTGGAATCGATTTGGGAGTGTTGGCGACGTGGTCGAAATGTAATTGTATTGTCAAGACCCAACAGGAGGGAGATTAACGCCGTAGGGGCGCCACCATGGCAATAACGCGGTCCATATAAAAGGGTACGCGCATAAATTACACACGGGGAAAAAAACCTCGTGCCGGCGGTGCACTCGAGTGTAATGTCGAGATGGTAATCGTCCCTGATGTTGCTCGCTAACACAAAAAACCATTATAGAAACAAACTGTTGGATTTTCATTAGCCAAAAAACATGCAGTGTCAAGGGCGTACCCGCAGATCGGTTACACACCGCTCAGTCAACGACGACGTTACATAAAATGTGTTGTACTAGTGCTTTTTCGTTATTATTGTTGTTCGGTCTTGTGAGAGGAAACAATAACGACCGCGAGTCGACGACAGAAACGACTCGAGGGCGCGTTCGACGTTATTTCAGTTTTCCAAATACACGAGCACATAATAGTTGTAATAATACAAATTACTCGACTATTGTTCTGATCCGGCAAAGACCACCCGGTCGTGTATGACATCGTACACGGCACACTGCGTTCAATAATGTTATTAATATTGTTTTTCCGAGAGGCGTTAATTGTTTTATGGCATCGAGACGTACACGGAGAACAAACACAAAAAAATACCGAACGTTAGTCGTCGTGGTCGTTATTTTCCCCGAGAGAAAAAACAACCGTCGGGCACTCTCACTACGTTCACAATATTTCCGGCAGCAGGCGACGGATACGTTTTTTTTTAAATAATAACAATTAATTATTCACAGTTTATAAAACGAAAATAAACGTGGGCGGTTGTCTTCCAACCGTATTTAGTAGTAATAACAATTAAATTATTGTGGTATACATAAATATATCATAATGTTGTTATATTATAATAAAACACTAATATATGTATACACCCGTTGCTCTGGCCAGAAAAAAACCAGTCCCCTCGACTCATTCTAACGTTCCCCGCGATATCACGTTCGGTCTCAGTGTACACTGTAAAATAAAATACTCGCTTTCTACTTCTTGTAAATATCAAAAATAGTAAATTATAATTACCGGACACTATCTGTTACGTTTCATTTCAGCCGAATGGCGTACCAAAGTGTACACTTGCTGTAAATTCTACGACCATACGACTGATAAAACACGTGTAATTTTTTCAAACGTTTTGATTTTTAATTAATCCACACGATCGTGACCAATGCATTCGTTTACTCGGTACGTTAAACATCATTTTGTAACCACCGGAATTCCTCGTCGCACACCCGACCGGTGATCATTCGATACTCAACAAAAAAATAAAAATGTTTTACCTATTAACTGAATTACAGTATTCATCGTTGAAAGTATTGAAGTACACGAACATGGTGGCGGTGAAGGGGAGTAAACGATTTACTTGTTCCTCGCAACCGAAAAGTAACCACAGAGTAAATTGTTGGATCCTAAGGGCTACGAATAATACAAAAAAAAAAACTCAAGTCGACCGATACAAACAATTCAATTCATTTGCCCGAGGTCAATTTGACTTTGTTAGTACGCGACAAACGTATGCTCAGTGAACGCAGAAGAAAAACCATCCCATTAATTTCCGTTTGTCCTGCTCGACACGGCAGTCTCCCCGAGGACGCCTTCTTGGGCGGCCGTCGAGAACCGGACCAATCTTGAAATCACAGAAAAACAACAAAGTAAACAAGGGAAATGTCTGTAATAATAACACACTAATGAATGATTTCCTTGTCGTGTGGTTTAGCTGTATGCTTATCTGCATGATAATGCAATGCTCAAATTAATAGCCATTGCTCACTCATTGTAAACACACACCAGAATAAAATTTCGCTTGAAAGCATTTTCCTATTAAATGATAGGTAGGGCACCGGTGACATTTCCCTACGACGGCAAGCGCCCGGGCTAAGTTCCGGTTCTTTTCACGCCTTGCTATGGATACACACACACACACACACACATACGCCGCTATGTAATGTCATAAAAAAACATAACAGTAATACATGCGCGCGATGCATTTATGTATAATAAACATGCAATCAAGTAATAGAAGTCTCGTCAGAGAGTGATGTGCGCTGCTATTTTAAAACTCTTTTCTTTCACCACTACATTGCCGTTCAGTCCTTTCTCGGTCCATCAAGAGATATTATTATATTAGTCATCGTCCGTCGCCTCCGTGTCGGATGTCGCCGAGGTGTGTTGAACCGCAATGTGTTATTATTAATATTATTATAATTATCAAAAAGATGGTTTCGACGACAGGGCTGGTATAAAACGGTAGTTGAACGCTAATGGGCCTTTTCCCCTCCGAGTCTCCCAAAAAACACACTCCCATATTATTATAAAATTAATATAATCGTGCGTAACAATGAAAACGAGGAGCGGCTGTTTCATTCTGTGTATAGTGTGTGAATGTATGTAAAACTATGAAACGGTTGATGCGACTGCTGAGAAATGGGATACAAACGCGATAGAATACATTAGAATAATAATAGGAGACTATACGGGCTCATTGAGTGCAATCGCACGAAGAGAAATTATTGGGATTCCTGAAGAAGAAGACAAAAATTAAAAAGCTTCATTTACCGGTTACACATATACAACTACACTTTACTATTATTATTATTTTATTATTATTGGCCGAAGGGCGGTCGCCACACCCTCGCTTGGCTACCGTCATCGTGCACATTTTCTGTGTCGTCGCCTGCTGTTGTAGCTCGCCAGCATCGAGCCGACAGAGGCACCGGAGAACTCTATTTTTAAACATACATTGTAAAAAATATGTATGTGTTGGTGTATGTATAAACATATACACTGGTAGAATCTAGAATGCAGCGTATGTTTGTAGAAATAGAAGAGCGCGTGTTGCATCGCTACGGCTCATCGTCGAGGACTTGAAGCTAAGATTTGGGTTTATTATAATAAAGTAATCAGATAATGAGGGTAATACACCTACACAAAAACCGTTTGTGTACGTATTATACGGGACGTTAAAACACGATAACAATTAATCCCGGACAAATTGAGACAACCCAGCGCATTGTTTGTTTAGTTAATTACGGACGTATATGTGAAGAATATAACCGAGTGCGATTAAAAAAAATAAAAAAAAAAGGCAGTAGTTTTTAATGGTGACAATGGGTTGTTCGGGGGAGGTCGCGACCCCGACGTCCGTGGCGTTCGATTAAGTAACAACATAAACAGTTATTCGGTCGACCAATAAATTGAGATGGAGGGCTATAATGATCTTTATATTATCTGAGCGGCGTTCAGTTTGCGTTTTGCTTTTAATTGGTCGAAATGAATCGAATTAAGACGATATTATTCCAACGAGACAGTCGGGACCGTTCTACGCTACTACACGTGCACTAGTTATAAAAAAAAAATAATAAAAAATTGGTGCCCAATATCGAAGAAAGTAATGAATGCCGAAAACCCAACCGTGGTCATGGCTACTTACGAATTCACGGTCACGCGGTCACCGCACAGCATCCCACAGGTGTACCGGATTCGACAATATAATCCGAGAGGGTCATACATGCACACATACGCTAACTGGTACAAAGAAGCCGACCGGTGGTTTTTTTTCTCTTTTCTGTCACAGAGGATATGATATTTGTTTTCCAGTGATTTCTGTACCCTCTCGACTCGGCTTTATTTATAGCAATGTTTTCTTGTACAAATCTCCAAAAATAATACACAGTACCCCTGGTGTTCATTAATCAAACATTCCTCCTCGTGGCAACTCGCGTCAGCGCCACCTCCTCGCCGCAATAACGGCGATACTTAGGGTTTATGATCGGAGACAGTCGACGACGTTCCCTGTGGGATTCGCACCGTTAATCGATTAACAGAACGTACTGCCTCGACACAGACGTGAAGAATATTATTGTCGTTATTATTGTCAGAAATAAGTGAACACGGTTAACCCCGTTAACAGATTGAACGTACGGGCCACCCTAGTTGCGGGTTTTCAATATCAACTGGCATTTCGTTAAAGGGCGACGACCGTGTAGATTTTTATTACTATCCGTTTTGTTTGGGAGGGAAATTACTTAGGCGTAGCGTATAGAAGTTACACAGTCGATCGATGTTTTTGTATGTGTCTGTTACTCTAGTAATTTACGGTAAACTACAGTCGGATGTCGGTTCAACGGCGTGTGACCCAACCGTACTTTTTACTTTTTGGGGGCGGCACAGGCAAATAATTATCATAGATGGCCGACGTTTTCATAACAGTTGTGTGTGTGTGCAGAGCCAATAAATTACTTCTGTAGGATTTATCGTTTGTGCTTTGAAAGATAACGGCAGACGATAATAACAGTAGTAACGTTGTTAGNCGTGTGTGTACAGGGCCAATAAATTACTTCTGTAGGATTTATCGTTTGTGCTTTGAAAGATAACGGCAGACGATAATAACAGTAGTAACGTTGTTAGATAAAACCATCGAAATCCGATATAACGGGGGCCGATTAAACGTAACGGAACACTGTACCGCCGAAAAATAACACCTTGTGCATTATCAATGTCGGACGGGTAACCTATTACCTACTACTACTGTTACTCAAATGTATCGAGTTGCTCATTAGATTATGATTGTTATTATTGTCATACTTGCGCTTACCTTTGTCGATTGATATCAGTGCCAGTAAGACGAACATCCATACAGTGCAAACAATCGTCGATCGCCTCTTGCCGGATTTCTGCGGAAGACGTCGACTACATTCTTCGGCCGACATGTTGTGCTATATTATTGTGTTCAATCGCTGCTGCTGCTGTGTAGTCAGTTTGGTTCTTTTTCTTCTTTTTACGGCGGCAGCTGCTATGCGCCTAGAGGTAGCAAAAAGGTATCAGCTGCCCGTATGGCGGCCAGCAAACGGTCGTGATAGTTAAGGTAGACCCTTCGGTGGCAAAGAAATCGAAACGACAGCACGACAGCAAACACGATGGCAGTAATTACCGAAATCAATAACAAAAAGTGTTAATGACGAGTGCGACATGCACCGGAGTATATGATCACAGCACGCGCGTTACATGAAAAAAAATATTTACCCAATTGAACAAATATGATAGTCGATCACGAATAGAGCACGGGCACGATAAATTGACACGAACTATTGAGGAAAAAAAAATGAATATAAAAAAAATATATATATTAAATTAAATTCGTGACGGTTACGAAATACCGCCGGTCGCCATTCACATAACACACACCGTAAGCCCGTTGCTCGCAGATAGAGTATTCAAACTACTATACTTAAAACATTAACACTGACTGTATTACCAGCGGGTAAGCCGTCTCGCAGCGCTGCCAGTCGTTTTCAAAACGCACACACACACATACACATTTTGTCGAGTGGTATTATTGTAAATGGCAAAGAGGGCGCAGCTGAGCCGCCGTCGCCGGCCGGCCGGCGCCCGGACTCAGTTGCCCCTTCCCTTCATCTTTTTTGTACCCGCGCCTGTTCATCCCCTCTTTTGTTGGTAAATCACCCGTATGCTCACATGCAGCGGCGGGTACAAGGGGAACACGGGGCACGAGGCACGGTTCACATCAATCATCCCCTCGACGAACCTCTTCACCACCACCGCATCATCATCACTCCACGCCGTAATTGTTGCCTCTTCCATCGTTGACGCAGTCAACAACGTTTTTATAAAATAATATTAATTATTTGCTCTGTACTTGAAATACATAGAAATACACAATTTTTATTTGTAAATCAACTGGCCGATCAGTTGTGATAAAGGCGAGAAAAAAAGAAGTAAACAGCCTCCTTTTATGACATGTTGTGGTCATTGTACAAAATTCAGGTGTATATTAGAATATCTAGTCTCTTTATAAGATATCAGTTGCAAATTGGTGATATTTACAAATGTTAAAAAGTATTAAATACAGACACACATTTTTTTTTCATCCAAATTACTTAATGATAACTATATGTATTACCATTTCAAGGATGAGTAAAAATTTATTCAAATATATACTCTCACAAATTTTTATTTACTTATAATTAAACAATGTGTATCCTATGGTAATTTACTCCAAAACACATTAAGTATTTTTCAGTTGGAAGAGCCAAAATTACATTTTGTGTTACTTTATTTAGAAATAATATTATAACTACACATTATACTTCTACCGTAATTTGGGNNNNGGGGGGGGGGGGTAACAGTGTACAAAGAATTATATAACATTCAATCAGCGTTTAGATTCTACGAACAACTTAATCAGGCCTAACTAATTGGTATGTGATGGTCTTTTGCCAAAATAATTAAAAACTATAGAGTAATTTGGCGTAAGGGTCGAATATTGAAATAAATAACTAAACTTTATAGTTATGGTTGATGAATATTAAATCTTGGACCATTTATACATGTTTTTTAGTCGTTATAAAATAATTGAGCTAAAATTGATTACATTATATAGATTGAATAATTATTTCATACTTTTATGTTATATTTCAATTTTTACGAATACTATATATAGTTTATAAAAGAATTTTTTTTAGTTGTATAGAAATTATAGAATATTAATATATAGAATATTTTTAATAATCAATATTGAGTAATGACATAATTTTTTTTCGCGTACAATTATTATAATTTAATTTAATGAAAACATTTTGATTTAGCTTAAAAGTCCAATGTAACTCTAAAAGAATACGTCTAATACTTATTTTAAAATAAATGACAATTATACATTATTTTAATAATTTGGATAATAAATATAATAATTTTTACGTAATTACTTTATTTATTTAAAAATATTATTTTTCGAGAGAAATATGTATTGTGAAGTGGCGAATGTTTTTTACTATTATTATAATTAATATTATAATGTTGAATTTCAAAATTGGTGAATTCAATATATTTTGTAATATTTTTTTTATTTTTAGTAAAAATACCTGGTTAAACAGTTATTTATTTTTGTGCTCATTAAAATTTATTCAATACTTACTGGACTCTTTACCCGTCGTCAATGGATTAAAAGTACACTTTTCTTTTCCATTTTGTTTCAATTTATTACTCATTAAATAAAGTTCTAATTAACACTTACATTGTATTTTTTAATCATTTTTCTAGCTTAAAAAACATAAAAATTATTTATAACTACCTTATACTACAAGTTATATGCGATAGCAAAAATATTAGCACTTTTACCTCAGGTTACTCTACTATAATAAATATATTTAAAAAATATTTTTGTTAAAATATATGTATTTTTATTAACTCTGATCATAATGATTAGTATTCGGAGTATGGAAAAGTCGAGGCGGTAAATGAAACTAGGTTAGTTTATAATGTTAATTACTACTTGTAAAGGCACATTAGCTGATTTATTGATGTTATGACGTTTAACTTGAAATTATCGTTTTCCTATTAAGGTGTAAATAAAATTTTATTAAGTGCCATAAATAAACATGTTATTATAATTAGCTGATATTATTATGATGAATTGAGGAAAACTGAATATATTTATATTCAGTAGTTACCCATGAAAGAATAAAACAACACGAGTACAGTCTATTAGGTTTGCCTTATTCGAATATTTTATTTAAACAAACAATAGGACAATACTAATGAAGTGACGATTATATCTATATTATAGGTAATATTTAGATTAACACAATTAATTAAATTGATATATTTATCATAGCATTGATAGATACATAAACTCATAAATACTACCGTTCTCAGTAGTTGATAAACCAATTATCAAGAAACTTTAAGTATATATTTTTTTAAATATGTATAACTTATTATTGTTGTACTTTTTCATTTATGAAATTTCCTATAAGTATTCATCATTAGTGATTTTTTGATTTATTTACCCAGAAATGTATCATTACAGTTCATGGAATACTTAATAAAACAATGCGTTTACCTTGTTATACTTATCCTTATGTATTAATAATACTTAGAATACACGATTGAAACATTGGCAACTGTACTACTTATGAATTCTATTAATTACGAATAATTACTTTTCATATATGAAGACGTTTCATTGAATATAATTTAAAAAAAAATAAGATATTTATTTTATTTAATAAATTTATGTTTAAACTTGATTTTCAATTCAAAATTTAAGTTTTTTAAGTCTTCTCAGGATTTTTTTTAATTTACACGAGCTTTGTTATAAAATAGAAACGAATACTCAATTAACGAATAATTAATTAAAATTTAAAGACCCTGTACTCCAATTAAATTATTGAATACATAATAATTAAAGTAATTTCAAGGTTTATCTTTATTATTAATTTAAATTTAATTTATTCATAAGCATGGCACATTTTTCTCAATAAATTTGAACGTTCTCACGTAAAATACATTATTAAGATGAATTTTCAGTTCAATAACTATATTTATTCAACAAAAGTTAAATAAGTATAATTATATATCTATGATAATTATGACTGATAAATTAAATGTTAAAAACTTAAATTTTTTCATAACACATTTTATATGAAAATACAACACAAGTTAATTAACAACTCAATTTTCTTTAATATTTTAACTATGAGCATTCAATTTACGAAATAAAAGAACTTAATTTAAAACATTTTTTACGTAGTAATTAATACGTAATATCATTAAATAAAATAGTTATTTGGCGTATCAGAATTTGAATATATTTTGAGTACAGAAGTGTTGATCTCTTTGGGGATGAGTATTTAAAAAAAAACAAATAATAATGGTTTGTTAAAGTAAACGATGTTAACATGATACCTCATAACTATTTTTCTTTAATAAAAACTTTATTAAGTTAATTAAAATTTTATCTTAATTACATTTTCACATTATTGTGAAAATATATCTAGTAATCATCAGAAGAGAAACTTTTACAAAATGTTATTTATAAAATATTTTAGATAAAAATTAATTAAATTAAGTTATTAGAAACATTAAATAGTTAACAAAAATAAAGTAGTTTATAGGCATTTGTTAGCATTTGTCCAACTTGAGGATTACCGATTATTGTGAAAAAAAATTTTTGCATTTAAATCTAAGAATACAATATAGAAATTGAATCAGTAATTGAATCACAACGTATTGCTAAGCGTCAGCTGTTATTAATTTTATTAAATATATACTTTAATACCACTCGATTCTTTAGATTCATGCCGGTAGTAAATAATTTTATCCACTTGTTGTTAGCTTTTATTATTGGCTCTTGATCAATTGAAATTACACTATTAGTAATAACACTTGAGAAATTCCTGGCGCGCGATTGAAAATTATAAGGCGCAGTAAAACTTATCCGTCATTGTGAAGAAATCCAATGCACACTGTAAACAAGAGAGAATTTTTTTTAACATCTTATTACAAGAGTTAAGAGTAATATATTTTGGCGCGACAAATATTGATTTGTAACGTTTCTCGATAATTTTACTCGTGAATCTCATAATTAATTGTAACTATCATACTTCTACAAATAACAATTAAATTTTATCATTTTGAAGAGCAATGCATTTCCATTATTTATGACACTCATAAAATTTAGTATACAATCTATTTAAGTCATGGATTTTAGTAAATTATATTGATCCATACACTTTTCAATAAGTTAAAGCATTATAAAGTTAAAAATGTAAAAAATAAAATCCAGAATTTTCACACAAAAATAGCATTCGGTAACTATATTCACCGTGAAAACAAAATAAAGTTTACATTACCTTTAATTTAAGATATATATAAAAGTGTCAGTATTTCCGGAACACTTTCAAAAGTTACGTTGAACAAATTATTATTTTAAACCCCATCTGTGGGCAGATAAAGGGTCAGATTTATTAAAAAATATACCAAATGATCAAGTATCTATAAAAAAGAAAATTATATTGATTCGGTCAATTTTAAAAAAGTTATGGCAGTTTTAAGTACAAAAAATTGAAAAAATTTCTAAAATTAGCGATTTTTAAATTTGTAATTTGTTTGGAGATTTCCTCTATTTACGAGGAACGAGGGAAATTTTTTCAATTTTGGAGGGTAATGTCTTCGACTAGATACGATTTGTGATCTTTTGACGTATCGTTGAAAGAAATCGGTTTGGTGAGATTTGAGATAAAGTGGTAACAGACAAAAAAAAAACACATCATAGTAAAACCAATACCTTCTCAGCTTTGCATCTAAGCTAAAATTAATATTATAACTTAGTTCAGGCACGAGGTGAGAGATCTTAATACAGCTTAGGGTATAAAAATTGCATATACATCACGCCGTATTTGAAACGGAAATGCATCAAATGATCGTTTGATACATTCTACAAATATTTATTACTTATACATGTAATTTTCTATTTATATCTATAAACAAAGAACTG